AACGAGTAGGTGAACTACATGCGCTGTCTGTTCACAAGCACTGTTGCCGTTGGAACCCAGCTGGTTCGGGTGTTGCACTGTGGCCTAACGTAACGTTCCTCCCTAAGGTTGCCTCATCTTCGACCCACTCTCTGCCTCTCCAGCTTGATCGCTTCGATGCAGATGGTGCTGACGAGCCTCTCTGCCCTGTTCGGGCACTGGAAGCGTACATCAGATGGACAGCTTCTCTGCGGCTGTCTGATAATATGTTCATTTGCTATGCAGGGCCTCGCAAAGGGCAGGCCCTTTCAAAGCAGTGCCTTGCGCACTGGATTGTGGACGTGGTGGAACAGGCGTACACTCTGCCAGTGGAACAGGCGTACACTCTGCCAGGCCGCCAGCCACCTGTAGGGGTACGGTGCCATTCCATCAGAAGCGTTAACGTGTCATGGGCCACTATGAATGGGGTCACTCTGGAGGCAATATGTGCAGCAGCCTCCTGGCCATCCCCAAATACGTTTGCCAGGTTCTACAGGGTAAACCTGGCTGCCTTTCACCTGTTGGAAGGGATCCTATCACAGCACCCATCGTCATCTCAGTAAGGAGGGCACACTTACATTTTGTTTCTTCTTGTGGGTGTGATTCATCAGGACTCTGTTGGCAATCGTCATCCAGTGCTTTAAGCACCGCCTCTGGCTGTCAGTAGGGATGAAATAGAATGAAAATTATGGCTGTAACTACGGTTCTATGAATCTGGAAGACCGCCAGAGTGCTCGGTCCCTCTGAATCATCGCGTTTCGCGAGAAGATTAAGGGACTGGGCTACCGTTGTCACGTGCTTATATAGATATCCTGATGCATGCTCAATAATCCAGGTAGAAAAATCTAAAAAAGTTAAATCTGGTCCTCTGGACATTCAAAAAAACCCAAAACAAAGCAAATCAACAAAAAAATGTAGAAACGTTTCGTCTCTCGTCCGAGAGACTTCCTCAGTCTGATTTGCTGTATTCAGCTCAGTCTCTTAAATAGCACCTTCTCAGAGTGGATCAACCAGTTTTGCTGCTGACAACCAAAACCAGCTG